TGATACAGTTCGGTTGCCTTTGGATAAAATCCAAGTTCATTCCAATCTGCTACTGAGTCGCAGCTGGAGAAGCCATCTGACCTGCTCTCCCTTTCTACAGTACCTTGAGGGGGAAAGATGTCTCTTTTGGTTCTCATGTTCAGTAGCTTATGTTCTCATGTTCAGCAGAGCCCTTAACAGTACACAAACTGACACTGTTACTCTATACATGCACAGACAAGACTCAGTGACTCCAAACTCCTTGTGAGGGCTACATAAAACAGTATTGAAACAACTTTGGTCTGACAGCGAGGTAAGACTAAACAATCTTCAAACTAGACTTGAACAATACGATGACATAGGAGATTATGAAGAGGAAGCTCCTCTCTGAGAGAAAGTCCATTATTATAAAATCATAGAATAGTTTGTGTGGGAAAGAACATTGAAGATCACCCTCCATTAGACCACCCGGCTCAAACTCGCATCCAACCTGGCCTTGAACACTGCCAGGGATGAGGCATCTACAACTTCTATGAGCAACCTGCTCCAATGCCTCACCACTCTCACAGTACAGAGATTCTTCATGGTATCTAATCAAACCTACTCTCAGTTTAAAGCCATTCCCCCTTGTCCTATTACTACATGACCTTGGTAAAAAGTCCCTCTCCATCTTTCCTGTAGGCTCCTTTTGGTATTGGAAGTCTATTATAAGGTGTCCCCAGAGCCCTCTTTTCTCCAGTCTGAACAGCCCCAACTCTCTCAGCCTGTCTTCATAGGACAGGTGCTCCAGCCCCCTGATGACCTTCATGGCTCTCCCTCCTCTGGACTTGCTCCAACAGGTCTACGTGCTTCTTATGTTAGGGAACCCAGAGCTGGATGCAGGTGAGGTCTTACTAGAGTAGAGTAGAGGGGCAGAATCACCTCCCTCAACCTGCTGGCCACACTGTTTACGATGCAGCCCAGGATGCGGTTGGGTCTCTGGGCTGCAAGTGCACATTGCTGGGTCATGCTGAGCTTCCCCCCGAGTCTTTCTCCACAAGGCAGCTCTTGGTGCATTCTCTTCCCAGACCGTATTTGTACTCAGGGTTTCCCTGACCTAGGTGCAGGACCTTGCACTTGGCCTTGTCGAACTTCGTGAGTTTTACACAGGCCCGCTTCTCAGGCCTGTCAAGGTCTCTCTGGATGGCATCCCTTCTCTCACGTGTGTCGACCTCACCACAGAGCTTGGTCTCATTGGCAAACTTGCTGAGGGTGCACTCAATCTCACTGTCCATGTCGCCAGCAAAGAAGTTAAACAGCACTAGTCCCAACCCCTGGTCAACAACTGGTCTCCACTTGGACATTAAGCTGTTGACCATAACCCTTTGAGGGCAACCATCCAGCCAATTCCTTATCTACCAAGTGTTCCATCAAAGCGATATTTCTCCATTTTAGACACAAGGATGTTGTGTGGGACAGTGTCAAACGCTTTGCACAAGTCATTATGTCAGTGAGCTTGTTGCTGGAGAAATACAAACTTTGGAGCCACCACAGAGACACCACTACGAAAGCTGCAGTGCTTAGAATCCTCCAGGTATGTAGTATTATATATTTATAAATATATATAGAAAGAGTATAGTTTTATATATATATATGTATTATAAGTAAACTACATACTAAGTGTGTAGTAACTAATATAGTCACACTATATACAGTCACAGTAGCTAGAATTTCTAGATGCCAGTTGTGCATTGCGGAGACACTAGAAGGCAGAAGATTAAGGATAGGGGTAAGCCACCAAGAAGTGTATAGAAGACAACAAATGCTAGTTTAAAGTTTAACCAGCAGTACTGTCAACTGACTAAGGAATGTGTCCTCTCTTGCACTGCTTAGAGCTTTTGCAAGTTGTTCTGATGAAAACCATAACTTACTTGAGCGTGCAGTTCATGGTGGAATTATAGCAACAAGGAGAAAAAAGAAAAAGCGGGTCTGCAGGTTTTGGGAGTTTTAGTTTTGTTTTCAGCTGAGACCTAAATTTCTTGTTTCATTGACTTAGATACAGCAAGAAATAAACCCACAGCCGCAAAGTATTGCTTGTACATACACCTCGTGCAAATACATATATCGACCATCACCCAAGTCTTTGCTGCAGTCATCTCCCCATCATACCAGCATTACCAAGATAATACAAGAACACATATTTCAGCAGGACATGAAAAGCTCAGTATATAACAGAAGGTGGGGGGGAGCAGAAAAGGCAATGTGAAAGCTAAGGGAATGGTCTTTAACTGGTAACTAACAGTCACAGAAATATGACAATGTACTCAGTCTCAGATATTAAATGGACCACATTATGGGACATTTTTCAGGCTTCATGAGAAAGACTTAAAAACTTTGAGACCTTGAGTTCAGCTTACTGAGAGCTGGCAGCCTCAAACACATAAAACAAACAATAGAAAGTCATTACATTTTTGTGAACAAGGCAAAGAGTTTGAAATTTATTAACTAATAATTCTGTTTCTCATGGTAAAATCCACATTCTCATTGCAAAACTACTTTCCACCCAGCTTTTTGGCTGGACACATCACAAGAAAAACTATTTTTATATAAAAATTACTCTATATTTCCCAAGAATCATCATTAGGTATGGAGCTAAAGGCTAAAATAAAAGACACTGGTGCTGGGAAATTGATTATAATAGATAGTAGTATCTTGATGAGTTCAATAGAATTAGATCAATAATTTCTCTGGCTGCTGAATCTTAGCCTAAAGAGGCAGAATGATATTAAGGTTCACACTCTCAATTTTTCTAGCACAGTATGTTTTCTATTTCAGAAGGACTCCATGTCCATGCAATGGCATGGCATGTTGGTATTACAAACTGGCAAACTGGAAAGCTAGCAGGTTAGACAGTGCATCAACAGCTGTCTTTCAACTGAAGAGTCCACTAAAACTTGCTATTACTCTTTCTCTTCATTTCTAACTTCAGAAACTAGAAATTTTCTCTTTTAGATCACAATCAGAATAATGCTTGAAGGGTAAAATCAGAACAATCTTTTGAAAGAAGAAAAAAATAAACAAGAAAAAACCCAACAGGGCATAGGCAGATTTTTTTCACATTCCCGTCTTTATAATAGCCTATTGGATATAACTCTTCACAAGAGTGCCATCGTACAAAAGGAAAGAGTTTTAAATTTAACATTTCCTTTAATTACCGAAAAAGAAGTATTCTCCCCTTGATTTCTCCCTTATATCCAGCAGAGGGTAGTAAAAGAACAGTTTTGTGAACTCCAAAGAGTTCATTACTTATCAAGTAGCATATAACAAAAGATTTTAAGATTGGCTTTTAAGTAGAATTACACTACTCATCACACAATCACCTTGAGAAGTTTGCTGCTATCATCAAGAAATCAGGCACAAATTTGCTAACCAAATCACCATTAACACAAGGTACTCTGCGTGGAAATTGAAGATGTCTCCTATATCTATCAATTTCAATCCACAAGCTAAAAATTCTATGAAGAGAGAGAAAGAAATACAGGGCTACTTCATGAAAAAACTTATACCATTCTGTCTGGGGTGTACTACTTCAAGGTTTCTGTATGCAAATGGAAATCCAGCTCAGATACAGATATCATGACCCGCTTAGTGGATGAAGGCAAGGTGGTGGATGTTATCTATTAAAATTTCAGCAAAGCCTTTGACCTCATTTTCCAAGCATTCTGCTGGAGAAACTTGCTGCTTGTGGTGTAGACAGGTGCAGTCTTCGCTGGGTAAAGAACTAGCTGGATGTCTGGGCCCAGAGGGTGGTGGAGGATTGAGTTATATCCAGTTGACATCCAGTCACCAGTGGTGTTCCCCAGAGCTCACTATTGGGGCCAGTTCTGTTTAGTGTCTCATCGATGTTCTGAATGAGGGGATTGAGTGCACCCTAATTCAGTTTGCAGATGAAAACAAGTTCAGCAGGCGTGTTGATCTGCTGGAGAGTAGGAAGACTCTGCAGAGGGGTCTGGACAGGCTGGATTGATAGGCTGAGTCCAGTGGTATGAGGTTTAACAAGGTCAAGTGCTGGGTCCTGCTCCTGGGTCACAAGAACCCCATGCAGTGCTACAGGCTGGGGAAGAGTGGCTGGAAAGAAGCCTGGCAAAAAAGGACTTATGGTGCTGGTCAACTGCAACTGAACATGAGTGTCCAGGTGGCCAAAAAGGCCAATGGTATCATGGCTTTTAGAAAAAACAGTGTGGCCAGCAGGACTAAGGGAGTGATCATCCCCCCGCAGTCAGCACTGGTGAGGCTGCACCTTGAATCCTGTGTTCAGTTTTGGACCCCTCACTACAAGAAGGACATTGAGGTGCTGGAATGAGTGCAGAGAAGGGCAATAAAGCTGGTGAAGGGTCTGGAGCACAGGTCCTGTTAGGAGCAGCTGAGGAAGCTGGGAGATCCTCTCATGCTTCCATGTGAATGGAAGTTGGAGAAAAGAAGGCCCAAAGAAGACCTTATTGCTCTCTACAACTACCTGAAATGTGAGTGTAGTGAAGTGGGGGTCGGTCTCTTCTCCCAGGTAATAATTGACAGGATGAGATGACATGGTTTCAAGTTGTTCCAGGGGAGGTTTAGATTAGATATTAGGAAAAAATTCTTCACAGAAAGGGTTGTAAAGCATTGGAACAGGCTGCCCAGCGAAGTGGTAGAGTCACCATCTACAAAGTTATTATTGTAGGCCCTTTCAGACAGTTACACACATGCAATTTCCTTTTGAGATGGTAAAGTGAGATGCAATCTGACAAAAGCATATGTATTGAAGTCTCACGTAGTCTTTTTTATTTGATTCAGAAATTTGTGATAATTTGCTAAAACTTTCAAATGCAAGACGCTTCTTCACATACTTTTCCTTAATCACTGCTTAAATAGTTATACTTACAGTAAGTACCACAAGACTCATTTTTCTGTAGACTGAATATGTTATTTTCTCATGACATTATTAAGAGATTCAGAAAGTTAAAATAATTTAACAAAAATAAAGAAGCAAAGAAAATATTTTATCAGATTATGGGTTAATAGGTAACATTCCCTGATATGACCATCTTTAGGGTATAGCAGTTGTACATTTTCAAAAAACTGAGTGCTGTCTTTTCAAATTTACAGATGGTGGGTACATTCAATCAAAATATTTAGAAAGATAAATAATTTGCTGCCTTGCTCCTCCTCCTTTCAGCTCATGATTCCTATGCTAGTATATTAAAAGCCACGAAGTCACAAGAAGAGCCCTTATTCGAGTATTTGGAAGCAAAACTCTTTGTTTTTCAAAAAGGGTCATTGGAACCCGCCAGTACGCAGCACTTTCCAGCTGAAGGCAATTCCACCTAGGCCAATATGTGTAGATCACAATATATGACAATAGATTTCCAGTAGAACTCTTTGAGGGCACAAAGGTCTACCTTGTTGGTCAATAAGTCAGTGGTTTTAGCTGATGAGCTTTGATCTTCCCTGTAGGAATTTTCTTTTGTACTTCAGCTTCAATGCAGGACTCTACCTACCTAGAAATCAATGCTTTAAACACTTCTTTTGCCTTTAAGAGAAAAACAACAGAAAGCAAACACTGCTGAAAACTATGTCACTTGTTACTTTAAGGGCTCCTTAAATTCTGCAAGTGATAGTTCCTTAAAATTCATTGCAGAAAATATTTAAATATGTCTTAGTAGAAAACATACATAAGGATAAAGAATCATCCAGTCACTATACTTTTCTGCAATGACAAATGTTCTACCAAGAAAGTCTTGAACCAGATTGTACATACAGATAACACAGACATTACAAAGCCTCTAAGTGGACAAACAAAATGTTGAAACCTAGGAGAAAACTAGCAGTTTATTATAAGGAGCACGCTTCAAGATATTATTCTCAAAGACTTGAGACTTCTCAGCATTAGGTGTCACTCAACAGACAGGAAAACTAAAACTACCTGTAGCAGTTAACTCCAGATAAGAAGAGGCTAATGTAACACCACTGTGATCTTCCAGTATGCTATTCCCTCACCTAGCACATCATCTAGCAATTTTCTCAGCTTCAGCAGATTCTCCACTGCAAATCCAATAAACCAAAAAGACAAGATAGACAAATTAAGAGGTCAGGGGAAATGTACAGACTTCCTGAAGTAAAGTTAGCCTTGTTTTCATGTTTACAATAAAACTTTTCCCATCTGCTGTTCAAACACCAGTCTCAAGTCAGGCTCACAGTGTAAGTGGCATTCACCTCTTCAGCCTTTTCTGCAAAACCAACGCTCAACATTTTCCTCATCAAGTAGACAGAATTCATAGCCTAACTGGAAGGTTCCATCCCTCAAAAATTAAATTGTTCAGTGTCAATGCCTGTTGAGCCTAATAGCAATAGTGAAAAAGCCTTACTTCGAGTTCCTTTTTAAGTTGCTTCTCTCGTTCAGTGCTGCATTTAAGTTCACGGGCCTGGCATCTCAGCACCTCACTACAGCCACTGTGTTCCACCTCCACATCTCTCAACTTCTTGCGTATATTTTGCAGTTCATTATTCAGCTCCTAGGAAAAAAATAAAGCATTCTGAGATACTTTTTCTAACATAAAGTATTATAGCAGAAGGGTCAAAAGAGGAAAGCCAACTGCCTCAGAACAAGTTATTAAAATAATACACCAGCACAAGCCAGCAGAACCACTTGCCCAACAGCAGATGTGCTCACAGGTAATGTGTTGGCTCAAAACTCACTATGAACATGACCTTCTGCGGTAATACTAAAATCAGAGCCAATTCTCCATAGGAGATTTTTCTCTAACAGAGTACAAGGCTGCTGTTCCAATCTCTTCTCTCTCCCAGCTCAATAGTAATGATGGAGAGGGAAACAGTTAAGTGCATTTGATGACATGAAACTTAGGGACAGAAGCTCTATTTTGTTCTTATTTTAACTGTTAGAACTTCAAATCAAATCATTTACTGAAAGTTACTTCCATAAACAAATTTCTGCTATTCTGTGAAGGACTTTTCTGCCTACAAACTGAATTACTTAAAAAATGACATACATGAACTACAAAGTTCTCAGAAGAATAAAATAACTAAGCTGTTCCCCACCACAATTTCTGCTTTTGGAAGCTGAACCAAGCTACAAGTTGGTGTAAGTACCAACACTATTGCACTCAGCAGCACTGCTACAAAATCCTCATTCACACCACAACACATGCGGAGGAAAGTAGCCAAATAGTGAATCTCAGTAGTCTGGCACATATTTCAGTTGGAGGTCCCAGAAGTCTCAAAAAGAATAGCTTTGTTCTAGTGGACAGGAGTAAGTTTTTCCATAACTAGCATTAGAAACAAGCTATAAATCTAATGACTCAGCTGAAGGACCTCTGGAGAGCCAATTTGTTAAAATTACTTTCTGCGCAAAACACAGGAAGATTACCCTAAGTCCTCCTGTTCATTTACTCCTACCATTTATCATGGCAAGAGAAATTTTGTGAAAATAAACCAGCTGGTCTGTAAATTCTGCTATTACTCTTACATCACATAATTTTGTTCCTGGAAATTACTAATCATAAGGCATCTGCAGAGTGGGGAGGAGAAAGAGAAGAAAATGAATTATTCATAAAGAATGATTCTTTGGAAGATTGAAGTTTGACAGAACCATGTTTATATATGAAGATCAAAGAAATATAAGTCTTTTCCAAAGTCTGGAAAACGAATTTTGGAAGTTCTTCCCGACTGAAGGTAGAATGTTTTGGCCACTCAAACACGACAATAAGAGAATCACAACTCCCTTATTAACACAGTGCTAAGTGTTACTAACTACTAAGTGAAGAAAATAAGTTTGTGGGGGTTTTTTTCATGTGCAGGCACTATGTCACATTTTTTTAGCATTCTCTGGAAAGGTAACAAGGAGCATGCATGTGGATTAAAAAACGTAAACCTCGGTAAATCAAAATATTGCAAAAATAGTCTATCTGCATATGGATTAAATTTAAGATAATCCTCTAAGTTTGCCTGTAATATCAAGAAATGAAGAGGTTTCTTCCCATCAGCATGCTAAAAAAATTACTTTCACTGAAATATACAACTACTCCCACTTTTACCACATTGGAAAGATACAGAAATATTAATCTCTTTAGATTTATCTTCCACATACTAAATATGTGAGCTGAGAAAAGTGCACATGAAATAAGTAATACACAGCTTGCTGGAAAATACTACATCAAGACTTTAAAACATTTTATACTGGAAATGTATTTAACACTAGCAGCCTAAAACTGACAAAAATATTACACCAAGTTTTTTGAACAAGTCAACATGACTTGTAGAATTTCAGAATTGTAAAGTCTATGAACTTTCCACATGTGGTATGACTGTGTCAGACTATTCCAGCAGTCACCTGCACTTAGGAAGTTCAAAGAGAAACATACTTCACCATGTAAAAAAAAACCCCGTTATACATACATGTATATCTGCATGTCACATACTTTCTATACACATCTGCTTATGAAAAACATGCCTTTTTGTTTGCTTTTTTTTAAAGTGTGTATAAACAACACAACCGCACAAATAGGCTAAGGAAAAACTGAGTGCTTCTGGGAAGGAGTATTATATCCTGATTAACCACAAGATGATGCTATTGCACTTACTATTGAACCCCAACGCTTTTTATCATGTACTGGACAGTACGTTAAGCACGCTCAACAGAGCACAATACAAACCTGTTGGAGAGCAGAGAGGATTACTCTTCCTTCATATCATAAAGACAAATTTTAGTGGGTTAAGCTGACTTCATTTCCACGCCTACCTGAGCATTTTCATAGCCAAGTTCAGATTCACAGTTCATAAAGTGCATCTTTGCCAACCAGGATTTGTCATACATACTAAGAATCTCACTTCTAAGTACATAGTAAGACCACAATTAAATCTACTTTTATCTAGCTTTCATTTCATAATGCAGAATAACTATAAATGATTTTAAAAAGGACTGTAAATACACAACACAAAAGACTAGAACACATTTGAAGTCATAATTTATAAACCCCTCCTTCCAGATCTTGCCTTAAAACAGCTGAGGAATCAGCACACAGTAGTTTTGAAATACACATAACGAAGGGATTCTCTCTGCCCTGTCTGTTGTAAGAGCTGCTTCTACAGGTGCCATATAGAATCTGACCAACAGCACCATAACATAATACACAGGTAGGTCTGATGTCAGAAACTGGCTATCAAGCTGCCAGGTAAGGGTTGTTTAGTGTCATTTGGGAAGACTATTTGGTACTATCCCCAGCTTGGAGTTGATTGGGCAGGAAGAAAGCAATCAGAAAATTTTCTACTGCTTGACCAGTGCCAAGACCAACTGACACAAGTTTGTCACATCTTAAAAGGTGCTATAAAAGAAAAAAATTTTAAAAATTGATCTTTTAGAAGCAATCTGTTCTCTGCATCCATTATGTAATATAAATGTCTGTCAGCCTTAACAGAGCCTTTGCACTAAACTTCTTTTTATGAAGGATACCTACAGCTGAATACATTCTAGCTTTCCCTCAGAGGGTATTATTACATAGCTAATATACAATGTATTTCACTTGTCATTTAAACAGACAAAAATTATTAAGGTACATTGGTATCATTGTTTGTGTCCCTGTGGAGGAGGTAAAAGTTAGGTATGTTAAGTCAGCACTTCCATACTATAATACTACTTGATTTCTTGGAAACATATTTCAGTTTTGAATAGCTTGACTGTATAAAAAAGAATAAAAACAAGTTTACACCTTTATAACTTTTTACACATTTAACATCTGATTTATACATATCAGTGCAACACAATTTCGAAAATTACTTTTTTCAGGGAATACGATGAAATTATCTATGTGAAGAACAAAAACCGACAGTCTAAAATAGATCTCTTAGTATTAGGTAATTTTTATCTAACCAAATGGCAGAGTTTCCAACAATGGTTATTTTTCATGTGTGGTATGGAGCGAATAATGTACAATGCACAGCTGGAAATCCTGTCACCATTGTTCACGTTCTCTGAAAGTATGTAGTCTTCATATTATACAAATGATTTTCATATTCATAGGCTATTGGATATCAGACTCGGGGAAGTAACAGGGAAATTAAGTCAGTGGGTGTTGGGTGTCCCTGATGTTACTAACTCGGCATTACATGACAGTGCAAATGGACCCTGCACTGGTACCTTCGTTTAGGGGGGTTTACCATCAAAATCAGCCACAACACTTTTCATCAAAGCAAGAAAGACTGTGACACACTAAGTATAACTTTCTAAGGCTACATACTTCAGAAATATTCTGCAGTATTTAGCTATTTGAGGGATTTTTTCCTAAACCAGAAAGACCTCAACCCACTACAAATCTCACATCAACAAAGTTCCAGCCATCATCTCATGCAACTTTCCAAAAATTAATATCATACCAGCAAAATCCTTTCTACTTTATTTCTTTCCTTAAGAAGAAATATGTATTCATTGTTGTAAATTCTGCTGATATCATCCTTTGCCCTTGAAAGTCTTTGTTGTTCTTCTTCCCACTTCTGCTGAGCATTATGAAATATTTTCTCAGTCTCCGTCGCTTTCTGCCGAAGGTTTTCATTGAGTACTATTGTTTACAGAAAAAGAGAAACAAAAAGTACAAGTAGCTCTGCAAAGCATGTCCAGAAAAAACTCATCAGTTCTTCAGTGTACTGTGATATCCTGTGATATACCGGAATATTAACACTTCCAGCACTGGAGAGCACCACCTTCATTACAAAGAAACTATCAAATTTTGTGTTCCTATAGCATCTTTCACACAAGGAGATAGGAATATTTTAGAGATTTTTACAAATTAAAACTCTTCTCCTCTTGGAAAGGAATAAAAACTTGAGATAACTCTTTCAAGTGACCTCTCTATAGCATGGAGGATTTATTTTCAGATGTCTACATTTGGCCAGCTTATTTCCTCCAAATGTAATTTTTGATGCAGATGTTAGTCTGTATCAATTCAATCTGAGCTCAATTTAAGTGACAGTAAAGACAGGCATCTGCTCCATGCAAGGGAGGTAAACCTAAGACATGTTGGGCTAGCAAGCAAAGGCTTAGCTTTTCCAGTGAAACTTATAGCTGTGCAAGAGATCTGAATCTTCAGCCCAGCAAACAACCTGAGATAGAGGAACATTGCACATACTCTTCTGTGAAAGCTCAAATGCCAGGGGAAGCTTCATTACCTGCAGGAAGTTTTATAGGAGCTTTGCTTAATTTTACTAACTGGCTTTCAGATGACAATACTTTGTATTGGCCTTTCATTTTACTGAACACAACTAACTACACTGGCAATTAAGTGATCACCACTTTCTAACAGATTTTTATCTCAAATTCATCCCAGCTTTCTGAAATTTCTTCCTAGTCAGAGAAGAATGAAAAGAACAGAAGAGGCACATTAAGACAACACAGAGAGTCAGTGGACACAACAATAGGAAAAGACTGTCGGATTCAATGAGAATGGCAGAAAAACAATTTGGAGAAATACTGAAGAGGACAAGGCATAAATGAGGCATTCTGTCTAAGAAGCTTTGTTGAGTCACATCAAAGCATCACATGAGGTGAGAAAGGTTCCAAGTGACCAAGGAAAAGAAACTAAAGGATTAAGCACAGTGATGATTTGAGGTTTTTTGCACTTGTCACAGAAACAAGAAGTTTGAGAAATTTTGACCAATGGAATTTACTGTCAGTTGACAGATTATAATTCTTGGTTATGGTACTGAAAGAAACTAACACACACACATATACACACATCCATTCAAGAAAATATCCCTTGTCTCTGCAAAACCCCTCCTACACCCTTTTTGTTCTCCAGTCCCCTCACCGCATGTTAGCCCAGTCCCTTCATGAAGGTGACAGGCAACATAGCAGACTGGGGTCACTGTGCTGTGGTTCCTCCATCAGCATCAGTCCCTTTTGAGTCCTGCCTCTTGGTGCTGGCATGGCACTACTCACTTCTAAATTGGTAAGGAAATTAGCAGTAGAGTGAGCATGCACAGAAAGAAAGAGCTTTTCTCTAGGTGAGAAACTAGCAGTTCAAGTCTTCAGCTTGCCATCACAGAGAAATTTCCAAGGGAAAAAAATGTCTTCTTCCAGTTTGCAATCCATTAGATTTGTATATATCATGTGTTTCTCCAAAGGAGTGAAAGTTCAGCCTTCCAATTATTTTAAAAGCAATTGGTACTTTTACTACCTGCAAGATTCAGAATCTGCTTCCATTCTTGGAAGGTTAAAATCTTCAATAGTGCTCCAAACTCCTCATTGAATATCAAAGGTTCATCAAACTCACAAATTCATCTCTTGTACTAGATTAAAAAGATACTATACCAGTTTAGGTAACTAAAAATGCACCTCACTTACTTGTAAGAATGAGAAATCTCTCTCTGTTTGAGGAGTATGAAGGAAATCTGAGTTTCTGAATATGAAAGTGGTAGGAAAAAAAAAGCCTAGATAAAATCATTCCTTTCCATATACCACTGTCACAACATGCATTACCTTTAAAAAGAGAAACAAAGATGACAAGAAGAAAATAAACCAGATAAGAACAATGAAAAGCGTGAAACATTTGAAAAGATGAAAGAAAATAGCAGTATGAGGAGAACTTCTGGAAGTAAAACTGCTGCAAATATGCAAACAAATTAAGAGGAATGGATTTTTTTCTTTCTTTCTTTCTTCTTTTTCCCCTGAAATGGAAAAGGAAGGACTACTGGGCATGGAGATAACCATGATGGGGAGACAGTCAAATCCATCACGATTACAGCTCTGTACATAGACACACAGGAAGGAATAACAGAAGGTAAGGAGCAAGAGGTAAAAAAAGGTCTGGCAGGTTAGTTTTAATCCACATATGAGACAGGAATTTTGTAAACTCTTATGAGTTTTCAAAAGCAGATGGATAAAAGATAGGAAGGGTAAGAGAGATCCAAGAAAAAGAGCAGTAACTAGAAAATTTAATTAAGTCCCTGATTCTCACTTATCTTACTGACTTGGAACTGATTTAGCCTTTATCCCATCTTTGCTTCTTTGAAACTTACCTTGCAGCTCCACAAGTTTGTTTTTCGCATCACTTAATTCTTCTTCTGCAGTACACATTTTCAGATGGGCATCTTTTCTTGCAACTGCCAATTCATACTCCAGACTTTGTCGAACGGCCTCTCCTCTCTCAAATTCCGACCGTAATTTGATTATCTGGCTTTCATAGTTGGACACCTAGAAAATAAATTTCTTTCAGAAAACTGGCAAAAACGTTCCTGTGAAAAACTGTGAAATGTTACAGAAATAACCTACAGAATATTTTTAAAAGATATTTTGAATCCCATTCACAACTGCCATCTTATTCCACTTGAATTTGAAATATACTCATGCAACTGCATATTTATGCCCATTTTGATACTTCTACTGGTTTCATGCAAACTGATCCTATTCCTGGATGAATTTCATGTATATTCAGCATACCCCTGTTTTTCAAAAAACACACTGCCTTAAGAAAATTAACATTTTAATACTGTCATCTTCCTGCAACTCAAGAGGAAAAAATGCAACAACAGAAACATTATATTTCACAGACAATTTTCTGTGAGACTTTCCTTAACACTCACAAAAACAGTTACATTGGGACAGTAGACTGTCAGACATCTAATAGCTCACAAGTATATGCACAAGCATAACATTCAGTCCAGTAATGTCCAGAAATCAAACCAGAATGCTATTAATGTTAACAGAACAAAGAATGAAAAACACTTTAAAAATGGATATTATACAGACTAAGAAACATAGTGTAATCTTTGCTGCCAAAAACTGGATCCAGAAAATCAAATCCATGCTATTTCAACACAAGATGGTGGAAAGTAAATTACGTATTTCTTCAGAACATGTACAAAGTAGCATGTTCAAATGAAGTAAAAGAAAATACTTACCTAATCTTTTCTTTAGTTCGAATGTCAGCTTTCTCATTAGCAAACATACAAAAAGGTGGCCACTGAGAGTGGCACTGCTGTAACCGGTTTCAATTTATTGCTACTAGGTACACCTCCCACACTTGCTAATGCCAATCTGGCAGCTGATAACCTGGTTTAAATTGTGCTGCTGAAGAAGTACTATTACTGCTACAGGAAACAAATCTGCTCTTAGCTGTCTGCTAGGTGCACTTGATGTGGGTGTTCATTCATCTGTTTTTGGCGAAATCCAGCCAATAAACCAAGTTTGCTGTTTCATATCCATTTATTATCCAAGTATGTACCCAAATTAAGAGACGCCTGCTTCTCCCACAATGATTTGCTCTTGTGCTTCAGTTAAGTCATTATTTTCCCACTGCCCCATCAACTGTGGGGTGATTCTATAAAATGGATCCCTGGAATTATCTTGATTAAAAGTAACAAACAAACAAACAACCTCTTACATTGAGCTGGGGGTGCACAAAATTCTTCTGCAACATTTTGCTGTTGTGAAGTGCTCAGGTTACCTACATCCACCTTTAACTAACTATGACAGTAGAGATGCTAGCAGTTCCTATGAGCAGGTATGAGGTCTCTACAGTGACACCTTCCTTGTTATTTTTCAGTTAGTGACTGTGCTTTTGATCCGCCACATGAGAGTATTATTTTAAGGAAAAAAGAAAACATTTATTCAAGAGTAGTAAAGTAAACAAAAGTCTTTACCTCTTGATTGTGTTGAATAGTTAAGTCTAAATTTTCTGCTTTAGCTTGAAGAAGTTTCCATCTCAGATCTAAAACAGCATCCAAATCTGATTCACTGTTATTCTGGAGTAACTCACACGCCACATTATGTAAGCTGCAAAATAAGAATGTTATCAAAAAAACTGAGTATTCCTTTCCAGTTTAAATGCTCCATTATTTTAGTTATTAGATTTTGAGTCCTAAGTTCTAAACATTCATCTAAGTAAAATTATGTCACGCAGTTGGAATCATACTATTCCTCTTTTGAAAAAAGGGTTATATATATTGCTTATTATGCAAGATATGAGAGATGTAGCAGCAGGAGCTTAAAAGAGATATGCATTTTGTATTTCCCAAAGTTGATTTCAGTATTTTTTTTATTATTTTTCATTATTTTCCTTATTGATTCAATAAACTTCCAGAATGCTTAAAAAACACCACTCCAATCACATACATTAGAATGACTAGCAAGGTTTTGGTTGCCTCCACAGTAAGGCTCATTTTTTAACATGGCTTACCATCTCAGAAACATCTCTGTCATGAAACAAATGCATATATGGGGTGCAAACCTCACTCTTCCAGATTTTTTTTCAAAGATACATACATTTAAACTACAGAGAAGCAACTGATCACAAACAAAATACAAATTAAAGGTCTAGTTCTCTAAAACAATCTCTATCTTCATTTCCGCTGCTATTTCAGTTAAAAAAAAAAAACAACTATTTGGCAGGTAGCTGGACCCATGTTTGAGCACCACAAGCTGCACCTGAGTCAGGACAATGTCTGGTATCAATACAGGTTGAGGGACAAACATATCGAGAGCAGTCCTGCCACAAAGGACTTGGGGGTGCTGATGGATGAGAGGCTAGACAAGAGCCAGCAGTGTGCACCTGCAGCCCAGAAAGCCAATTGTATCCTGGGCTGCATCCAAAGCAGCGAGGTCAGCAGGTCGAGGGAGGGGGCTCTATCCCTCTACTCTGTTCTGGTGAGACCCCACCTGGAGTGCTGCATCCAGCTCTGGGGTCCCCAACAAAAGAAGCACATGGACCTGTTGGAGCAAGTCCTCACGAGGCCACCAAGTTGATTAGAGGGATGGAGCACCCCTCCTACAAGGAAAGGTTGGAAGAATTGAGCTTGCTCAGCTTAGAAAAGAGAAGGCTTCAGGGTGACCTAATTGCGGCCTTCCAATATCTGAAGGGAGCCTATAAAAAGATGGAAAGAGACTTTTTACAAGAGTATGTAGTGACAGGATGAGGAGGAATGGCTTCAAACTGAAAGAGAACAGATTCAGACTAGACATTAGAAAAAATTCTTTACTGTGAGAGTGGTGAGGCACTGAACAGGTTGCCCAGAGAAACTGTGGATGTCCTATCCTTGGCAGTGTTCAAGGCCAGGTTGGATGGGGCTCTGAGCAACCTGGTCTCATGGAAGGTGTCCCTGTCCACAGCAGGGGGATTGGAACTAGATTATCTTTGAGGTTCGTTCCAACTGAGGCCATTCTACGATTCTGTGATTTAATGACTGTATTGACACGGCATAGCTTGCATGTACTACACCATCTTCTTCAGTCTGAATTATGTACTTTCAGGGATCTAGAAAATAAACCACAAAAACAGTAACTGTACTACTAGACTTAAAAATACAGAAGTGGAGCTCACCTTTTAGTTTCTGTGACAGAGCAGTTGACTGGAGAGGATGAACTCATGATGTCCAGTAGGCAGCTTTTATAAACTCTGGAAAATTAAGCCTTGACTTTTACTTGATAAGTTTCAAAGATTATTCTTCCATATCATAAAAGCATTAAAACCTGTAACAGAGACATGCTTTAGTTTATTTGGCAACGTAATAAAAGAATCTTTGGTTAACACTCATGATCAGTTATGAAACAGTGTTACTACGTCATGTGAATAATTACCACCAAATGTAATTTTACATCAGTTTTAGTCAACAATGAGAACTGTACTTCTAAGCTTAAATATTGTAGGTTAATATACATATAGTAATATAGTAGAATATCCACTGTCAAGGTTTTCAGAATGTCGATAAAAAATATGTTTGCTTACATTGATCCTCTGAGTTCTCTATTCTCCTAAGAAGATTACAAACTCCATTTCTCTTCAAAATAAATCTATGGGAGACAAATGCATACACCATGATTGCATGATGTCTGACATCAGCTTTTAATATAGCAAGTCTTCCAAATGTTTCATAAAAAATTTTTGACTTGGACATATCTTTACTGTATATATATCAGCAATATTTAGGAGTATAAAGAAGAAACACTAAATTGAACATAACTCCATTCTAACCCAGTTAGAAAAAACTCACTAATTTAGTGTTACTAATAAAAAAGAAAACAATACAGATAACATATTTATAACACAGACTTTAAAAAACTCCATTATTTATTTCAAGTTGAACAGCAAACTCATAAATGAGCTCTTTCCATTAATTAAAGCAAGGTAACATGAAGAACAAGTTGTATTCAACACTTGAGATTGACAAGACATTAAGGTTTGTTTTTGGATGCTGCCACACATGGACATCCATATTATAGTCCAAACAAGAAACTAGCCTGTACTCCATCTCTGGCTGAGTTGGAAGAGACCCCTCGGATCAGGCCATCCTGGCCCTGCACAGGACCATCCCTAAGAGTCACACCATGTGCCCAGGAGTATTGTCCAAATGCTTTTGAACTCTGTCAGGCTTGGTGCTGTGACCACTTCCTTGGTGCTGCGACCACTTCCAAAACCTTTTCCCGATGTCCAGCCTAAACTTACCCTGACTCAGCTTCATGCCATTTCCCCAAGTTCTGTCACTGGTTGGGAGAATGAAGAGATCTGTACCTGTCCCACCTCTTCCCCTCACAAGGAAGCTGTAGACTGCAATACGGTCTCCCTTCAGTCTCCTCGAGGCTGAACAGATCAAGTGACCTCAGCCTCTCCTCATACAGCTTCCCCTCCAGACCTTTCACCATCCTTGTGGCCCTTCTTTGGATGCTAAGAGCTTAATGTCTTTTTTATACTCTCCAACAGCAGCACTTGCTATAATATATTAACTATAAACTGATTTTATTCATTCCAGTTGCTAATAACCTGCACTAGAAATATGAAGAGGAAAAAACACATTTCAGCTTCAATGTATAATTTTAACAGAAAATGCTGCAAAACCAGACTTATTATTTCTAAAAACTCTGAGTCTATGGGTTTGGGTTTTGTTTTGCTCTGTTCTCACAGAAAAGCAGTATATTTATAAAGAATAGCTAGATATATTTGTGATTTTTATATATATAAATATAAACATAAAATCTATATAAATTTGTGATTTTTAACATCCACCCATCAGAATTCACCTTGGTACATGTGTTCATAAAACCCCAAACACTTAATTACCATACAACAGTCATTAACACTCCTAGAGAAAATGACGCAGCTTTCTTTTCATCTCAACTGAGAAAACAGTTAAGTCTTCATTTTTAAAGTACAGACTGTGGTATAATTGTCTAAGTACCTCTTAAGGCCCATTGAATTATTGGTGACTTACACGCTAAAAACTGTAGCTTTATATAAGAGAAGAAGGTCTTGACAGAGTATTTTGAGTATTCTACTCAACAAAAATCAATTGCTTGGATATAAAAAAAAATGTGGTATCACGCTATGGGAAACTATACCTCTATTAAATGTGTCAAATTTTCACATTAAGATGTAGCTCTGAACACGATGAAACTAGTTTTTCATACCATACTTTGTTCATGCTTTATTGAAACTTACAGCAAAATCTGATAATGAACAGTAGAAAAATAAAAAAAAATTGGTACAACTAAAATTTTCTCAGAAATCTGTTTTTTCTCCAAAATAAAATTTGCTATCTCTGTCCAACAAACAATAGCTGCAGCAAAAATAAAATCTGTCTCAAAACATAATCCAAATGTCCTCTGTCAACCCACATCATTCTAAATTATATGATTTATAATACTAATTCATAATTTCTGAAATTACTCTGAAGTCACATGGGGGCAGGGGAAAATATCTAACTACTGTTTTCTGGGAATGCTAATGATTTTGAAAATGCAACATTCCTTTGTTAAGATACATATCCAAAGTTTATTAGCACACAAATGGATACACTCTGAAAACATGCTAATTCAATTACAAAAAAAATATCCAAGTGGCATGGAGTGGCTCATAAGACCTAAACAAAACAGTATAAGAAGTTTTTGCTTGAGGAGATAATACGTTCGAGGGGTGTTACCTACAAAACTTGTGTCATATTCTCCTCACAAACTTCTGTATACACTTAACTAACTTTATCAACGTCATTGATTTAGACCGGATATGAGGAAGAGAGTCTTTACTGTGAGGATGGTGAGGCACTGGAACGGGTTGCCCAGAGAAGTTGTGGATGCCCCATCCCTGTACGTGTTCGAGACCAGGCTGGGTGGAACTCTGAGCAACGCGGTCTAGTGGAAGGTGTCCCTGCCCACCAGGGAGGGGTATGGAACTGGATAATCTCTCAGGTCGCCTCCAACCCAAACCATTCCGTGATTGAGATCACTCAAATTAAATCTAACCAGATTTATTTAATTTAAAACAGGCGTAACTAGCACACCTGAGCTGCAAAGTATAAAAACTTAACAGCACTTACTTCGGCTGAACGAACCACTAGGTTTTCATTAAAGCGAACCAAAAAAATTAAAGCAAGCTAAAAACCAGAGCAGCAGCATCCCCTCGCTCCGCTAGCCCCCGAGCGGCGCTGGCTTCATGAAGCGGTGCCGGGACAGAGCGCCGTGCTGGCAGCTCTGGAGCTTTACCTGGCACGAAGGGTTGCGGGAACAGCGGCAGGACAGAGCTCCAGCAGCAGCGCCCCGGGGCCGCTCCGGGAAACGCCGCGCAAACTCCCGGTCCCGCCGGGAAGGACGCGGTGCCTTCCCAACGGCAACTTCCGGCTGCGGCGGAACATCATCATGGGGCCGTCATTGCCGCCATCCCCGACGGCGGCGAGGCTGTGCCCTCCTTCCCAAAGCTGCCGGCGTCCGAGCATGTTTACAGCTGGGTAAGCAATCACAAACACGTTTTAGGGATTCTGAATTCCAAAAATATAATCTGCGTAAAGGAAATTAAAATGACATGACTAACGTGAGAGCCAGATTGAGGTGTGGATGTCCTCCAATTCGGGACAGCGCATTTTTCACCCAAATTATTGAGAGAAACAAACAGGTGAATTATTTGGACAGACCATGGGACAAAAACCACAGCAGGGTGGATGAGGGAGATGGATAATGAGGTTACCACTCCCCTTCTTACATGATTCACAAAAATTACTTTAGACATAAAAGTATTGCTGCGTGCATGTAGCTAAACAAACACCTTTCCTTATTTCCACACAGAAAAATACAACTGATATAGAGAACCATAGAATTATTTAGGTCGGAAAAGATCTCTGAGGTCAAGTTCAACCATTAGCACAGCACTACCAAGTACACCACTGCACCATGTCCCTGAGTGTCACATCTACACAACTTTTAAATACTTTCAGGGATGGGAACTCAACCACTTCCCTGGGCACCCTGTTCCAGAGTTGGTAACTCTTTCAGTGAAGAAATTTCTCCTCGTGTCCGACCGAAACCTCGCTGGAGCAACTTGAAATTGTGTCCTCTTTTTACCTCTGAGAAGAGACCAACAACCCCCAAAACCCCCTCGCTATAACCTCCTGTCAAGTAGTTGTAGAGAGCAATAAGGTCTCCCCTCAGCTCCCTTTTCTCAAGGTGGAAACAAATCAGAGTGATGTGACACATGGAATTCAACGTTAACTTATTTTTCAGAAAGAGCTGTTGATGATGTGTTTAGAAAGAGTGTTTGATGTTCGGGGAAAAAAAGAGGGAGAACATGGTGCTTAAGTGTGGGTCTGGCCTTGGTAGAAGCAACTGCTTCACTTGCAGACACGACACCAACATGATTCTTTGCAATGTGACCTAATCCGCACCTACAGGAAATCAGTTGGAACGACTGTTTCAAAGTGAGAAGCTCCAGATGTACAACTCCTCACAGGAAGAACTGTTTTTCACCTCTGAAGCTCATTCCTGGCTTGTAACAACTTAATGTGTATCAGGCTACTGACCTCTTACTCAAGCACCAGGTGGCAGGTCTGGCTGAAGCCTTACAGATTCTGTCATTCAAAATGAAACCATTTGCTAAAAAGTGCTGATGTAGTCCTTGAAGTTTGTAAAGAGCATCAGTGTGACATCTTACTCTCTTGCATGTACAAGGTCTGGATTACAAAATACACTTTTCCTTCTGTGCTTCAGTATTTTGTCTTCAGTCTTACAGTTACTTAACATGTACAAATGCACCCAATTACATACAAAACATAACTTGTTTGAACAATTTTTTTTCTCTCTTTAAAAAAACCAAATTATACTTTGGTTTCTTTACCTTTAAAAATGCTTTAGTCACATTATTGTCTTTTGAATAACACCCTACCCTACTTTTTCATGTCATCAAGTCACCTTGAGTTGCTTCCTTAATTAAGAAAAAAAATATTTTCAGGTGCTCTTCACGGATTTTAATACAAGGTGCAAAGCTTCTGATTCCTGAAAAATGTCAGACTCAAAGGAGTGTTCCGAAGGCTGAGGAAATTATAATATCCTCGAGAGATTCCAAAAGCATTGTTTTAAAACTAAGTTGTGAAGTTATTTAATCTGATGCTCAAGAGAAATCTAACTGTATGATTAAACAGAGTAGTGACTTAACTAAGGGAATTCCTGCAGATTGTCAATTCCTGTGTAGCAAAATATTAATATACACAGTTTTTGCAGTACTCAACACTTTCTCATTTAGGAAAAAATATAAAACTTTACGTATTGCTGAAATAAGAATGATTCAGTACAGCAAAGTAAAGACGTACATATCTGCAAGTGTCTACAAATGCAGATATGTGCCACTGTCCAACTTTTATCTTCCTCTAAACAATTCTAGATGTACAGTCCACCTTAGTCTTATTTTTTAACTAACTTTTGTCACAAGAGGTCATTCTTTTGTGCATAGGAAGAAAGGTTTTCATCTATCTAATATATTGATGATTTTCTATTTTTTTGTGAGATCTTGTCTAACTCTCTAGGAAACTGATGTCAGGAATATAAGCTTTCCCACCTCAAAGAAAGTCATACAGATGGTGTGAAGTTTTGCAGTTAACATTTATAAGTGAACATTTTGCATTTAAGGACAAGAGAGCCTAGAAAAAGCACAACTTGCTCTGTGGCAACTGCAGTGGGTGTTTTGGGCCTAACTTGATTTTCAGTATCAAAGCTGAAAGTGGTAAGATGATTCTTCTCACAAGGTCTTATCTTTGTGTGTAAGTAGCACAGAGAGCAGCTGGCAGAAAATTGGCCTCTGAAAGTTGTGCATCAGGCTACACACTGAGGATGAGAACTCAAGCACAAAATGGGTAGGTCTGCCCCTGTGAAACAGTATAAGGGGTAATCTTTTGTGCTACAACTCTTACAGCTTTTGACAGGTTTTGGCAGCTAGTGTATGGCACAAACATACAGTACAATGACTTGCAGGGGGCACTGTGTGGGACCATCACTTAGAGTTAAAGCCACAGAGAGCTGAAAGGCTGGCTACTTTTTGATGCAGAAGAACTAGAACTAGACATAACAGAACAGGCAGGCTGTGTGAAAGAAGCGATTGAATCTAAATTTGGATCTGACGTCTTCTGTTTGAAGAAAGGAGCAAAAGTGTCAGTGGAGCAAAGCATCGGATGTTGGAGGTGGCTGATGTGCTCAGCAAGGAACCATCTGACAGAAACGGGAGAGGAGTGTGCAGTGGCTGAAATGCTGGGTGAGAAGGGAGCTTAATATGGATGGGTAAGGTAGCGAGGAGAGAGTAGGTAGGAAGAGGACAAGGGGAGTAACAAAAAGTCTGAATTTATAGCAACCTAGTTAAACAAAACCAAACCAAAACATAAAACTCAACATTGAACTCACTCTAGCCACTTTTATTGGGGATAACAAGAAGTGCTTCTACAAATACATCAATAGTAAAAGGAGGGGCAAGGAAAACCTCCATTCTTTGTTGGATATGGGGAGGAACATAAGTCACCAAAGATGAGGAAAAGACTGAGGTACTTAACACCTTCTTTGCCTCAGTTTTCAACAGTAAGACAGGTTGTCCTCAGGACAACAGGCCTCTGGAGCTGGTAGACAGAGACAGGAAGCCAAATTCCCCCTATAATCCAGGAGAAAACAGTTAGCAACCTCCTAAGCTACTTGCATCCTCGCAAGTCTATGGGACCAGATGGGATCCATCCTAGGGTGATGAGGGAGCTGGCGGAAGAGCTCGCCAAGCCACTCTCCATCATTTACCACCAGTCCTGGCTCACTGGGGAGGTCCCAGATGATTGGAAGTTGGCGAATGTCATGCCAATCCACAAAAAGGGTCAGAAGGAGGACCCAGGAAACTACAGGCCTGTCAGCCTGACCTCAGTGCCTGGCAAGGTAATGGAGCAGATCATCCTAAGTGCAATCACACAGCACCAGCCAGCACGGGCTTAGGAAGGGCAGGTCCTGTCTGACCAACCTGATCTCCTTTTATGACCAGGTGACGCACCTCGTGGATGGGGGGAAGGCTGTGGATGTGGTCTATCTGGACTTCAGCAAAGCCTTTGACACCATCTCCCATAGCACACTCCTGGAAAAGCTGGCAGCCCACGGCTTGGACAGGGGCACTCTCTGCTGGGTTAGGAACTGGCTGGAGGGCCGGGCCCAGAGAGTGCTGGTGAACGGTGCTGCATCCAGTTGGCGGCCGGTCACAAGTAGTGTCCCCCAGGGATCAGCGTTGGACCTAGTCCTATTTAATATCTTCATTGATGATCTGGATGAGGGGATCGAGTATACCATTACCAGATTTGCAGATGACACCAAGCTGGGGGGAGTGTTGATCAGCTGGAAGGCAGGAGGGCTCTGCAGAAGGACCTGGAGAGATGGTCTGATTCCAATAGGATGAGGTTCAACAAGGCCAAGTGCCGAGTCCTGCACTTTGGCCACAACAACCCCCTGCAGCGCTACAGGCTGGGCACAGAGTGGCTGGAGAGCAGCCAGACAGAGAGGGACCTGGGAGTTTGGATTGACAAGAAGCTGAACATGAGCCAGCAGTGTGTCCAGGTGGCCAAGAAGGCCAGTGGAATTCTGGCCTGGATCAGGAACAGTGTGGCCAGCAGAATCAGAGAAGTGATTCTTCCCCTGTACTCAGCGCTGGTGAGGCCACACCTGGAGTACTGTGTCCAGTTCTGGGCCCTTCAGTTCAGGAAGGACATTGAGGTGCTGGAGCAGGTCCAGAGAAGAGCAATGAGGCTGGTGAAGGGACTCAAGCACAAGTCCTTTGAGAGGCTGAGGGAGCTGGGGTTGTTCAGCCTGGAGAAGAGGAGGCTCAGGGGAGATCTCATCACTCTCTACAACTCTCTGAAAGGAGGTTGTAGCCAGGCAGGGGTTGGCCTCTTCTCCCAGGCCACCAGCAATAGAACAAGAGGGCACAGTCTTAAGCTGTGCCAGGGGAGGTTTAGGTTAGATATTAGGAAGAAATTTTTTATGGAGAGAGTAATCAGGCATTGGACTGGGCTGCCCAGGGAGGTGGTGGATTCTCCATCCCTGGAGGTTTTAAGATGAGACTGGATTTGGCACTTAGTGCCATGGTCTAGTAATCATGGCAGTGTTGGATCAAGGGTTGGACTTGATCTCAGAGGTCTTTTCCAACTCGGCTGATTTATGATTCTATAAAAACCCAAACCAATCAACCAACCAAAGAAACAAAAAAAGCAACGAAAAAAACCCCGCCACACTCAGGAGCTAGTGCCGACTGAGTAGCAGGTAAGAACTCGGTAGACTTAAGAAACTGACACCACGGCTTGTTGAAT